ATCTGATCTGATCATTACATCTGATCTATTATCACATCTGATCTGTTATCAGATCTGATCTGATCATTACATCTGATCTATCACGTATGATCTAAAATCACATCTCATCTGTTACCACATGTGATCTGTTAATACACGTCTGATCTATAATCACATCTGATCTATTAATACACCGTCCTATCTATTATTACATCAGATCTTTTATTACATCTGATCTATTCATTACATCTGATTTATTTTCACATCTGATCTGTTATTTTGTTTTGAACTGATCATTTGTGCATCTGATCTATTAGTACTCACCTGATCTGTTTAATATGTCTGATATGTTAAACTCATCTGATCTGTGCTGAAATGATCAGTTGTATATGTCTGATCTGTTTTATTCTCCTGCAGAAGTGAATCCTGCAGTACTTCTTGTGTCTGTATGGTTTGTTGATTGTTGTGTTTGTCGTTCAGTGGCGTTGCCGACGGTCAGTAATCTGGAGCTGCATGACATCACTCACAGTAGCATGCGTGCGCGCTGGCGGGAGGCAGAGGGGGCTTCTGGGTACATGATCCTGTACGCGCCTTTGACGGAGGGTGACCCCGCGGACGAGAAGGAACACACACACACACACACACACACACACACTACAGGTACAAACACACATGTATGAGTGCATATATTAAGAAATATACTGTATATTGTCAATGAGCACATATAATACAATTATAATCACATGTTCATTATGGTAATTGCAACATATTAAGAGATTTAATTGGATTAAAATAAGTACACATAATTTCAGGAAAAAATCAAACATTTCCTAGAGCCCTGTTATTGTAAAAATGTTAATACATTGTTAAAGTATTATGAATTCAATTAATTAGGCATGCATTTTGATAATTCAAATTTAATTAAACACTGAAAAAATTGAATTTGTGAAAACATTTAACTTAAAAAGATATTTAATAGGACCTAAATTCAACCGTAAATTTGTCACTTAAAAAAAAAAACAATTAAAATTTTATCCAAAAAAAATTGATGTTGGAAAAAATATAATGCAATTTGGGAAAAAACTAAATGGATTTCATAGGGTCCTAAAAATTTTATTTTTGTTAAATTGTATAAGTTTTATGATTTTAAATAATTTGATTGAATTATTTAATTTCAGTTAAACATTTTAATGACTATAATTGAATGTAAACATTTAAACGGAATTCAGAAAAATTCAACCTGAAAAAAAAAAAAACAGAATTTGGGGAAAAAAATAAAACTTCTGTTAAAGGAACCTGACAGATCTTTATACAGGTGTGTGTGTGTGTGTGTTTGCAGGGTTTATCTTCAGCTGTGTGTGGATGATCTGACCATCATCAGTCCGTCTGCTGCCATGAGCCGCTGTCTGATGGAGGACAGACAGACAGACCGAGAGAGTGCTAAGAGACCCAGAGCGCCTGAGCGACCTCTGACCCCTGCGGCGTGCGTGAGTTTGCTGCTCAGACTGGAGTCCAAGCAGGGCGTGACGCTGCAGAACGGCTTCGTCTGCAGAGCCGTGTGTCTGGGAGATGCTCAGCGCTGGAGCCACGACCCCAAAAACCACCGGACGCAGGAGCGCGAGCAACACCGAGACACTCAGAAGGTCAGCAGCACACCATCAAACACCTGAGACGCCACTGAGAGTCCAGCTGGCATCTTTAGAACATGTGTGACCCTGGAGCATAAGCAGCACAGGTATATTTGTAGCAATAGCCAACAATACATTGTATGGGTCAAAATTATAGATTTTTCGTTTACGCCAAAAATCATTAAGTAAATTAAGTAAAGATCATGTTCCATGAGGTTCTATTAATGTTTTATTATATTTATAATTTATTAAGGTTTTATTTATTTGTTAATTGTTATTTTCGCTATTATTATTATTATTATGTAAAGGTAAATAGCAAGCAAGCTAAATTTAGATAATATGGTCTTTGGAGACTCTTTAGAGTATTACAGACCTGATAACAGATCATTAGCTGAGAGTAACAGCAGAAAGTATGAGTCAGTCTGTAGTTTAGAAGAGGCTGATGGGATTGAAATGTGAATCTGTGTTTTTTGCAGATTGAGCTGCACTTCATGGGTTTGTGTGTTCGCTGGTTCCCCGTCCTTCATCCTGGATGTGTGTACAGATTAATCGCACGCAACACTGAGGTACCACACACACACACACACACACACACACACACACCGCTTCATCGTCTCCCAAAGTCTGATGTCTGACTATCAGCATAAAGTCTGTTTACTCTGAGCAAGAACCGCCTACTTTGACAGGAAGAGACCTTCTGTGACTGACAGGTACAGCTGTCAATCACAGTTCTGTCTTTTAACATCTGTCTCTCTCTCAGGATGTGAGTGTGTTAAAAGCCAAGGGGGTTTCAGCGAGGGGCGGAGTCACACAGCTCAGTAGCCCCGCCCTCCTGCTGCAACCGCAGTGGCGCATTCACACGATCACTGAAGAGCTGCCAGACACACAGGTACACACACTCACTCACTCACTCACACTCACACGCACTCGCACACACACACGCTCTCTCACACACACACAC